CATATCTCCATATAGCTTCCCCCAGAGTGTCCGGAGGTAACACTGGTTGTAATAACAATAAGAAAAATTTTATACAAAAAAAAAATAAATAATATTTACATTAATAACCAATTAACAATGCGGAGATGCGTATGACATGTACGTTAATAATATACAGTGTGTTATTGCGTGAAAATAGCGGTGATGTGGCATAGCATGACAAACAAAAGTAATGAGAATACCGTCTTTCAAAATTTGGGTTTGCTAACAATGATAATAATGTACAGAACTGTTACTGAACCCCAAAAAAATGAACTGCTTTTTTTTGTGTGTGTGTGTACAACAAATGAGTAATTAAATAGAGTTTACTCGTTTATTATTGTAACAAATTTTTTTTATAAAAAAAATGTGACAAAACGAATAATTGTGGGGAAAAAATATGGTTAATTATGTACACTAAAAAAAGGAAAAAAAAATTTTTGTTTTTTAATCGACGAAATGGACATAACGCTTGGGTTTGTTTGTAGGTCTGCCGGAGCGTGTTAAACAAGAAGGCTTAGTATTAAGTTTTTTGTCCTCCACTGGTTTTTCAGTCACTGGTGAAAGGGGTTGATTGTCAACAGCGTTGTCTTTTTTACTTGAGTAGATTCATAGAATGCAGGTTTAGCTGTCTATAGAAATAGTCTGCTTTTTGCCATCTCTGCTGATGATGAAGTATTTTTGTGTGCGTTTAATTACTTTATATGGACCTTCGTATGGTTGTTTCAATGGTTTTTTAACCGCATCTACTCGGACGAAGACAAATTTGCACGTTTCAGGGTTTTTATCAAGTTGGACTCGATTGTTGTGTTCTCTAGGTGGTATTGCTTTGATGTTCTGCATCATTTGTAGTACTCTGCTTACAAAGCGAGAAGAGTCTCCTGGCGTTGTGGGTTCATTCTTGACCAGTTGTCCTGGTAACGTTAATGTCGTGCCATAGACTAGTTCAGCGGCCGTGCATCCGATGTCTTCTTTCACTGACGAGCGAATCCCAAGGAGAACGAGCGGTAAAGCATCGCTCCATTTTGAAGGGTCCGGTTGTGCCATCAGAGAGCTTTTTAGTTGGCGATGGAATCTTTCAACCATGCCATTAGCTGCCGGGTGGTAAGCTGTCGTTTTAATGTGGTTGACCCCTAGAAGTTTAGTGAACTCCTGAAAAACGACAGATTGAAATTGGGGACCACGATCTGTTGTGATTGTTGATGGTACGCCAAAGTTGGATATCCAGCGGTCGAGGAAAACTGAAGCCACTGTCTCTGCCGATGTCTCTTTAATGGGGCATGCTATGGCCCAATCTGTGAACCTATCTATTGCGGTGAGGATATGTGTGAAAGAGTTTGATGGTGGCAGAGGCCCAACTAAATCTAAATGCACGTGCTGGAAGCGTTTGTCAGGGATAGGGAACTTCCCACTTGGACTGTAGGTGTGTTTTTGTATCTTACTGCGTTGGCACTGGAGGCAGTTACGTGTCCATCGTTTAACATCCGAGTTGATTTTAGGCCACACAAAACGTTCGGTAATGAGCTTTGTTGTTGCTCTGATGCCTGGATGTGAAAGACCATGCAAATGTTGAAATATTTTTCGTCGGCAAGCATGTGGGACAAACGGACGATTGTTGCCTGTTGAAGTGTCGCACATGATGAATGCATCTGAAAGGGGAATAGGTACAGGTTTGAGATCTAAGCTAGAATTTTCTTTGCAGACTTTCAATTCTGCATCGTCTACTTGAAATTTAGCCAAGGTTTCAAGGCTGATGTCATGATTGAGTACCATCGTATTGATATCCCTCCTAGATAGTGCATCTGCCACAATGTTCGTTTGACCTTTGATAAACCTGATGTCTGTGGTAAATGGGGAGATATAATCAAGTTGTCTTGCTTCTCGTGGGGAGTGATTGTCATACGATGTGCTAAAAGAATGGCAAAGGGGTTTATGATCTGTCATAATGATGAAATCACGACCCTGTAGCAAAAAGTTGAAATGTTTTACTGCTAAATACATAGCCAGAAGTTCGCGTCCGAAGGTGCTATAGCACACTTGAGTTGGTGATAATCGTCTGGAAAAGAAAGCTATAGGAGTAATCTTGTCGTTAACGCATTGCTGCAATACTGCTCCTACTGCTTTTTGGGAGGCGTCAGTGCAGAGGATGAGGTTTGTTGTGTGATCGGTTTTTAGGTGCTGTAGCATGGTAGCAATAGATATCATCAACTTTGCTTTCTCGAATGCTGTTTTGGCATCAAGAGATAGGTTGATGTTTGATTCTTCTCTCTCTTCGTACCTTTTTTGTCGGCTTTCAACAGATCGGTTAGTGTGTGTAATACTTCAGCACAACGTGGTAAGAAGCGGTGATAAAATTTACACATACCGAGGAAGCGTCGTAATGACTTAACCGAGGTTGGTTCGGGGTAGTTAGTAATATCCTCAACTTTCGTCTGAAGTGGTTTGATCCCTTGTGAGTCGATGTAATGTCCCAAAAACTCTAAGGCTGGGACTGCGAATATGCATTTCGAAGGATTGATGACGACACCATGTTTTTTAAAACGATCAAAAAGGATCTGGACATGTTGGATATGCTCTTCTAAAGATGAGCTTGCAATAAGAACATCGTCGATGTAGGCAAACACGAAATCAAGGCCTCTTGTTACGTTATCCATGAAGTGTTGGAATGTCTGCGCAGCGTTTTTTAATCCGAATGGCATCCTTAGAAACTCAAACAAACCAAAAGGTGTTATTATGGCTGTTTTCTCAATGTCTTCCGGTGCCATTGGAATTTGATGGTATGCGCGCACGAGGTCGAGTTTGGAGAAAATACATTTACCGTGTAGGTTTAATGAAAAATCGTGTATATGCGGAATCGGGTACTTGTCAGGAATGGTTTGATTGTTTAATCGTCGATAGTCACCACACGGACGCCAATCTTGGTCCTTCTTTGGTACCATGTGTAACGGCGAGGCCCAAGGGCTGTTGGATGGTCTGATAATACCAAGTTGCATCATATGTTCGAATTCTCTTTTAGCTACTTGCAACTTGCTTGGTGGTAGTCTCCTCGCCCTGGCGCTAATAGGTGGTCCGGTGGTAGTGATATAGTGTTGTACCAGCTGTGGGTTACCTTCCTTTTGGTAATCTGATTTCGTAATGCACTGGTATTCTGTTAGAATGTCGTTGAAAACGTTGTTCGCAGGCTTCATTATCCGTACACCATGGATTTCACAGTCGTTGGAAGGTGTACCTTCTACCTGTAAACGTGTATTTGCGTCGATTAATCTCTTCTTGGTCATATCTACTAGCAAATTGTAGGCACTGAGGAAATCAGCTCCGAGAATGGGTCGTTTGACTTGAGCAACTATGAATACCCATGTGAATCTTCTGCGGAGCCCGAGATCTAATATAAGAGATTGCTCTCCGTAAGTTTTGATAACTGATTCGTTAGCCGCTACTAAGGACAATTTAGTGCTTGTCGTATGTTGTCTGCGTGAGAGATGGAGTGGGATGATGCTGATTTCTGCTCCAGTATCGACTAAGAAGTCTGAGCCAGAAATACGATCCCTGATGTGGAAGAGGCGGCTAACATGTTGGCCAGTAACAGCTGCCGCCATTACTGTCTGGCCACTTCGTTTCCCTGATGGTCTGGCCTGTTTGTCGTGAAGTTGCACGGTTTTGTGCAACGACATGCTTTCTCACCATAATTCGAATGATACCAACAAATTCCGGCTGCCCGCTTAGGTGACCTAAGGCGATGTCTGGATACTGATCTCCTTCTGGACGTAGATCTGGGAGGTCGAGAACGGATGGTGGAAATAGTGGCCTGCAGTGATGCTAGCTGCTGTGTTAACTGTGTTATTTGTTGTTGGATGTTGAGTGCGTCGCTCATGTTTTCACTACTTGAGGATGGTATCGCGTTAACGCCGCAACTATCGGGATATATTTCTATCATCTTATCGGCCATGTCTGCTAGATCATCAAGACTGACAGAGGCTCCTGATATGCTGAGGATTTGTCTGACGCTATGTGGTAACCTTTGTGACCACATCTGCTTAAGTAATGCTTCGTCTAACTTGTATGAGCCTGCTAGTTGTCTCATATGTCTAAGCAACTGTGAAGGTCTTTTGTCCCCTAACTCGCATGCGGTGAGTAGTTGCTGTAAGCGTTTTTCATCAGACTGCGAAGTACGGTGGATTACTGCGGCTTTTATTTTGTCGTAGGGGTCCGTTTCTGGTACGTTATCTATCAGGTCTCCGACTTCTGCTGCCACTTCTATGGGTAATGCTCCAACGATGTATGCATATTTTGTCGCTTGCGAGCGTATACCTCTAGACAAAAATAATGCCTCAACCGTGTCCAAAATGTGACTAACAACTATACTTACAGGTTTCTTTACCTTAAAACCATTCACTTATTATTACCCCTCTTTGAGAGAAGGATAACTTAGATTCTTGAGAAACTTCGTCTATGCTCAATACCTTTTGTGGAACCACTTCAATATCATCTAACAATAATGTATGACAGTTTGACTACTAAACATGCCTCCAAAACCCCGAGTCAAGTATATGAATAAAAATAAACTGTAGGACTGTTTAGCAACGTTAACTAACATAGAATCAAGACGAGAAACTGAAAATAAACTAGTCAGTATTGTCCCAGATATCAATATCTTAGAAAATGTTTGATACATTATAATGTAGGTTTTACATATGCAGTATCGAGAGGGCTATCATAGACACCATGAAGTTTACAAACGTTTCAGATAGACATTAACAAAGTCTTCGTAATAGGACCAAAAACTTCTTTACTATCTGCAAGTCTTGGATGTAACTGTTTCGACATAACTACACAATTTTTATCACCTAATTGGTGAGAAGGCAATTATGTCAAAGATTAAGTAAAATCTTCATCGTAGTGGGGAAGTTTACCCACAGAACATTGTGTTTAAAGGAACGATACATAAACAACTTTCATCAAATGTTAAAATGTGGGAAAATTACCTGAATAAAGGCCAATTCGAGTCACGCTTAATGTGAGGATCAACAACAGTAACGAGCTTTCGACCTTTAACATTCAGTTTATCAACCATTTCTTTTGGATTTGGAAATTTAGTTCTATCCCAAGTAAAATAACGTTTTCCATCAGTGTGTTCAATGTCTAACCACAAAATATCAACAGGCATTTCATATTCATCAAAATGTTTGTCCACAGAAAGTAAATCAGCTTCATCATTATAGTTCCATCTACACTGATGATAACCAATCGCAAACAGGGGTGGTAACTTGGTAGTACCTACCACACTAGCATAAGAACGCATTGCTTCAGATGGAGTACTACCCATAAACACATATAAATCTACTAAGCCGGACTCAGATATCCATCTCGTTTGTACTGAAGATTTCTCTGGTTTCTTCGAAAAGAAACCTGAAAATATTCCGCTATTTTGTGAGTTCGAGTGATCAATGTCGATCCATGTCTCCGACGGATTCAGCCACAAGACACCCACAGTATTATTTTGATTGTGTCCCCACATAACAGGGACAGAGCCATATAAGGCCATTTTATTATGGACCTCATATTCGAATACATCAAGATTATAAAGTCTGTAGGGGTCACCATCACTTGTAGTTTTCAAAACGAATCCATCAGCATGTTCTGGGATCCCATAGATGTGACTGAATCCCTGAAAGTCGAAATCCATCGAGATAGAGTTTAAGCCGTGAGGTCTTGTATCAAGATGTTCCTTGAAATATTCTGACCATGACTGATCTTCCGGAACTGTGTGCTCTGTATCTATATGATCTTGTTTTTCATCTTCTTTGTCTTCATCGGTAGTAGATTCTTTTGGTACATCTGTATTTCCTGAAGAATCTTCGGAACTATTTACAGTAGAGATATCAACCTCATGATTTTCACTTGGTAATGTATGGTTGTCATTTTGAGATACCTTATTTTTATCGATAATCGGTTTTTTCCTCTGATGTTCAAAATTTAAAAGACTTCTCTTATTTGCTGATGCTACAACAATGTCATTCAGGAAAAAATCGATATGAAAAGGGTTATAATACACGACTGCCTTGTATCCAGACTGTCCATCCAACACTAAACTATTCTCAGCAAATTTACACCTGATAGGGGCCTTTTCAACGCCTGGCAAAACGTCTCCTGCAGTTACGCGATACCTTTTATACTCATCTGTCAATTCATCAATGAGTACACGGAAGATGGAGTGTTGATTATAGGTAACATCCAGCGACAGATAATGGTTTTGATCTTCAGTGTAAATAACTGCAGTTATTCCATGTGGGTTTATCTTGACAGAACTTGGTTCTAACCTGTGCGCAAGTTCCCCAGGTTTTATTTGTCGTTGTCGAGTACAGAACCTGTAATATGAGTAAACTATAAAATCATTTAACTTACGAGCTCTGGTCACATGTTTTAAAATTAGCACGATCTACCGACCATGAGATATTGAGTATCAAGAAAAGTAGACCTAAACTCTCTGGCCTCAAAAACATGTTGAAAGAACTGTATCAACAGGCTAACAGGTTTTGTTTGGTAAAGAAGTGAAGGAATAATCTTGTGTGGGATTCCAGTTCGCCAGGTCAAATAGCGTAACAAGGAGTCTGAGAAAATGAAAAGCGTAGTTCTAAAACTTAATAAGCATATTTTAATTAACCATATAAACACAAGATAATAAGTAGTCAGTGATCGATCTACGGAGTAGGATTCTAGAATAACAAACGCTGATAGCTATTTTTGGAGAAAACACCTTTAACCAATTGGTATGCAGCTGTTAACACGGTAGATAAAAGCTGCTGGTCGCCCTCTATCAAGCTAGCAAGATATGAAAGATAATAAGAACTTCTTTTTATTTTATTTCAACACATAGATATTGGCACAAGAAGGCACCAAATACATATGCGCCACACAAATCTCATTCGATATATGTGAGGGCTATGATACTGCCCGGGTGCCCAAACCGCAGTAGGTGGTTTTCTTAGGGGGCCACACCCCGAGCCTTCGACCTGAAGGTCTGATCCAAAAGGCAGTGGAGAATCGTCCCATGGAAGCCGGTGACCAACAATTGGCTCATACGCCATTTGTTCTCGCAGGATACTGGAGCCCATGTGCACCATTGGTTTGGAATCCGGTTAAAGCGCCGGACATTCGCTTTTCATCCTCTCATTTTCGTAAACAACACCCTCGCCACGAGAAGGCAGTGAGTAGGATTTCCCTGGCAGAGGCTATATACGCGTGGCCATGTGAGAGCATTTCGAGAGGGAGAGCGAACTCTCCCCACTCTCGGCCGTACCAGGGCATAATAAGAACTAACCCAAGTAGATTCATTAAACACAAAATACTCATTTAGTGATAATGGAACCAGCAAAAGTTAATAGTGAGCAAGATCACCAACAATACTATCTGTAGACGAAAACCCATCTTATGTGATCTACAGCAAATGAAAGGGGCAACCTTGTGACCAATAGCGTAATCTACTAGACACCAAACAGAAGCAGTCATAAGCCAAAGTCCATTCAGACAACTGACACTCAGGAGTCTGTAAAAATGGTATGCCAGGTGTTTACGACTAGTTAATTTCAGAATAGGGTGTGTTAAATCCTGACAGTAAGATTAATATGAGTATCGTACGACTCTGACTCATCCTAATCCATTATACAAAATTACACGATTGATTGGCGAGACCCTAATCCCTAACCTTAACCCTAACCCTAGGCTACAACCCTAACCACTAACCCTATGGACGAGTTTCTATACCATATGCATTATGAATTCAGAGCCTTTGAACCTTTATCGAACCTTAACAAGTTTTTAAATCATGTAAAAGAAGAATATCCACTGTAATTCATTACTTACAATATATTCTCACTTTATGCTAACTGTCTTCTGATTGACTAATAATTGTCAAGGTCATTTAAGATTCGTTCAAAGGTCGTCGCTAAATTAGAGTCTCGCCGATTGATCTTTATCACAGAGCACGCCACATGTGATTACCATTGTCTAAGAACGCTTTGCGCTCTGTATATGGTTTGATGAGTCTATGTGCATAAAATATAGCACTTCATACTCAACCTCTTAATATCGCAGTTATTTTAGCCGGTCATGCAACAGAATGATTACAGTACACTAAATTGATCTGAAATATGTAAACAATTAAACACAAATTACTCGAAGTCAGATGGACACCAAAGACTAGCGAACCCGACTGAAGAGGTATATGCCGCCCATCTATAACGGACTACCACAGAGTTTGCGCATCAACGAGGTCGCGGTTAGAAATTAACGTGCGTTGCTACGACCTCAGCCTAATAAACAAACCCGTCATACTTTAGGAGACTGCTGAGCCCAATGTGACTCCATTTTGAAGCCTTCTAATCCGAAGATTCACTACCGTTGCATCATAGGCTTGACAACCTATTGTGATGTCCATCTTCATTACGCGGTTGCCATTGCCCTATGAACATACCCTTCAACGAGATAAGAACACAAAGCAGATGGTCTGTAGCTCGAAACGACACACTTTCTTGATAGAGTAAGCGCACTATGTGCTGTGTACAAATGGTACCACGTGTGGAGATCGTAGATAAGGAATTACATGACAAGGAAATAACCGACGACCCCATAAAAGCATGTGACAGACCTACATTCAATAGCTTTCCAAAAGACAAATGCTAATGATATCACAAACTTGAAGTTTAGGAAACCTGACAAACCAAACCTGAACTGAGCGAAAGCTCTTGAACGCGTCAAACGACCTACAGTCAAGACGCGCGCCGGTGAATATTCACTTCAGCACTGAATAATTCTAAATCTAAACTTGTTGAGGCCTGTTCAGAAGAGACTTACGCTATATTAACACATCACTTCGTGGAAATAATTCATTGTAATATCTAACTGTAGTCTTGAGCATATGAAAGAAAAGTGAGGGCATATCAGATGCGAATTTATCATCAAGTAATTTGAAAGCCATGATCAAGTCACATTTGATTCTTCTATATGATAGTGGAAATAGATTAAGCCAGTCGAGCATCATACGGGAGCTTTGATATTCCGGAATAAGTTTAGTTTCAGTTTTCTGGATATTTTTCAACAGCTCACTTTTTCCTTTTAGACAGAAGCTAGACACTTGTATGCAGTACTCAAGTTTAGGACACACGAATTTTGTATACAAAGTCAAAAAAAGTTAAAGCGTCTACATGACTAAAGGCTCTACGTATTGACCAAAGTGTTCTGAAAACTTTGGCGGCTATTGCAATGCAGTATGCAGTAGTTTATAGGTTTGAACTAACGACGGCTCCTAAAACAATGTGCGTTCGGACAACAGGCAGCTCATTGATATTCACCGTGTATGCATCTCAAGGCTAATCGTACACTGAATCTTTCATCTAGTTCAGGGACACTGTTTCTCAAACATTTCCTGGTACTGATAGAAGTGTGATGTCTCTGTAGTTCACACATGTGCCGAGATTTCTTTTCCTTGATATATTGATGGGGTATTTTCCTCTCCAGTCTGTCGTCGCTTGTTCCTCCTCCTTTCGAATCTTCCTGAATAGCATGAGGAGCATGTTTGCAGTTACTTCTATGTGTGACTTCACGCTTCAGCTAGTGTGTTATCAGGTCCTTCTGCTTTCCATCTGTTGATTTGTCTGACAGTCATATTGGTTTTTTCGATTCACTGTGGAGTGACATCTATAGAAAAGTCTGAATGTGCTGCTTCGCTGTTCGGTGGTTTCAGTGAGTCTGGTCTATTCAAGAGTTCTTCCGTGTTCTACCTATCTATTCTTCTGTTCTTTAATCTCGACGATTGTCTTACATTTGTCCTTGACCGGTCTCTCTAGTTCACTTTATTTCTCTACCAGTTCCCTCGTTGTGTCATAGAGTTGTTTTGTATTTCCTTCTCTTACAGCTGTTTTCGTTTTCGTTGGTAGGTCTTCCATGTATTTTCGCTTGTCAGCTCTAATGCCCCTCTTCACTTGCTTATTTGCCTCTGTGTATTCATCTTGTGCTTGAACTTTCTCTGCACTTGTTCGGCTGTTGTTAATTACTGTATACTTGTTCTTACTTTCTTGAATTTTGTCCAAGGTTTCTAGGATTTTCTTTCCTTATGATGATACTTCTTGCGACCCATGACGCTTTGAAGTTAGTGGTGCTTTGGTCCCTTTTCAGTTGTCCTCTACAGTAAATTTGCGAATCTCTCACCATTCTCGTTGCTCCCTGCCAGTCCATTTCGTCCCATGATATCTCCATACCCAATGTTAGCCACGCGGACTTGGGTGTCTAGGTCTCTCATCAGTATGGTCAGGTCATTTCCTGGGCACTTCTCTATGATCTATTGCAGCCTTTCGTAGAACTGGTCTTTGTCGTCGTTGTTATCATTGGTGTGTGCATAACACTGGATAACGTTCATTGTGATTCCCTTCTTCTTCGTTTCGGGGATGCTTTGATGATCCTGATTCATGAGATTACCATGATTCCAACTTGGTCATCATGAATTGTGGATCGCAAACATGCGTCCTAGTAGGATGGATGAATCGCCCACCCCATTTAGATATCAATTTTGACAAGTTGTTAACACTTTTTATTGTTTCCCACCAACCACATACGTTTAGGTTCATCGGACATACATTTTGGTCAGCCCTGCGTTACATGCAATTCGGCTTCGGTACCGAGACAATATAATAAATTTCATGCAATTGGTTCCCTTTATGAATTTAAATAGAGCAAGAACAAACATTGATGCAAAATAGTATGAATTCATATTATTTCGAGGTTTCTCGTCAGCTGCTTACAAACCAAAATTGTGATAGAATTTTTTATATGGAGATAGTGTGAAAACAACTGACATAAATGAGTGTAAATAACTTGATTACAATAATAACTATATATATATGCTAGAAACAGGTCAGAGGTCAAAAGAGGGGGTTTAATCCAGGGTGGGTGGTGTAATAATTTAGTGAAGTTCATAAATTGTGTGATAATTGTAGAGATTAATGGAATTAAATAATGATAAGGTAGATTACGTAATAATAATTAAATAGGGTTTGGAAAGTTAAGATGATTTAAGAGGATCAGGTGATGGAAATGTGTGAATAAAATTTATTTTAAGAATTAGGTAATAGGGGGGGAGTGTAAATTATCTTAGAATAAGTAAATGAGTAAAATAACCAAACACAAAACAAACAGAAACAAAAGGATTACCAGGGTAGAGATAAGTTTATTAAAGTCTCTTTTTGGATGCATAAGTCCGTTTTCAGTTTCTTAATTGCAATGGCTTCAGCAAAGCGGAGAGTGGTAGTAGTTCTTTGTCTATTGATAATTTTAAACGCGCGCATAATATCGACGGTATGCCCGGTGTCAAGTAGATGCCGAGCTATTGCACTGTTAAAAGCTTTAGTCCCTCTCAGCGTCAAGTTCTTCGGAATATGCTCAGAAATGCGAACCTGTACTCTTCTCTCAGTTCTTCCAATGTATGTGCTACGGCACGTACATGTGAATT